TTAGGGTTTTAGTGTTTAGGGCTTTAGGGTTTAGGGTTTTAGGGTTTAGGGTTTTAGGGTTCAGGGTTTCGGGTTTAGGGTTTAGAGGGTTTAGGGTTTAGGGTTTAGGGCATTTAAGGGTTTAGGGTAGGACCCACAGATTATGGGGCTTAGGGCTTAGGGCATTGAAAGGTTTAGGGTTTCGGGCTTAAGGCCTTTTAGGGTTGAGGGTATGGATTGCTTAACACCGCCCTCTATACTACCCCGCCCAAGGTTACCCTTTTGTTTGACATATTTAGGTAGATTTCGGGGTAGTATGGGGGGATCGGTCAATAGGACTCATAAACAGAGCCCAGAATTGGGGCTTAAGGTCTCTTAGGGTTTGCAAGGCTTACAGAGGGTTATGTAGCTTTGACTGAATATCTATTTCGGTTTAAGGTTTTCAGGCTTTCGTGTTCAGCGCCAGTGTGTAAGGTCTAGGTATTCAGCGGTTATGTCGCGGTCTCCTATTTACTAAGATCTGCTGTAGAGTTGCTCCTAGAGACCATACTGGGGTTATATTGCGATAATGGAAAATAAAATGGAAACTACAGGTATGATTGGGATGATATAGGGGCTATATAGGGAAATATAGGGTATTTGGGCTGTATGGGGATAATCGTAAAGAAAATGGAAACTACTATAATATGGTATGTATAGTAGGGTTATATTGGAGCAATATCAGTGTTAGTTGCAGTGGCAGGAGTGTTGGAGTGTGCGGATTACAGGATTTTTCATTCTGCTGTGACACTAGTTCTCAAGCATTTTTGCCAGGCGCTAGCCGGGCATGATTCAGAGGTAAAGATTGGGAGGGATTGTGGCCCAAAGCTGTAATCATTGGTTTTTCTAATCCCCTCCCCCTAATATTGAACCCCCCACCCCGGCTAATATTAGAAACCCAGAAGATGCTTTACGATGCCACAACGGGGAGGATTTAATATTAGGGGGTGGGGTGGGGGGATGTTTTTTAATATTAGGGGGAGAGGATTTGTTCTATTGCATCTCTTCATCAGATTGCCTGTGCCGGCTGACATAGTCGTGCAGTTCAAGACTGCATGAATGTCATGTTTCAATCCGACTTCCATGTGGCTGCACTAGGCCCTAAGCCATGGAACGAAAAAAAAAAAAAAAAAAAAGGACATTCCCCAATACCATACAAACTGTAATCCATGGAACCCAAAAATCTGACATTCCCAAATACTCTCCAAGCTGCACCCTAAGAGCATGAAGCTTTGGCAGGCTTTACTGCCACATGCGGACCTCTCAAAGTCAGAGTCCAAGGCGCCTTGGCATGTGTGCCAGCTTGGCTATCTTTCTGTAGTTTAGCCTCTTCCCATTAATATCGGCCCGTTTCCGGGTCCAACATGAAACGTCCCCAAAATTGATTATTGAAAGGTGGGAAGGTTGCTACACTTCAGTTTCCCAAAGGGTATCCTGTCTTAAGATGTTCCCCATGTGAAAGTAAACTTGGCGTGTTGATGGGGGTGTTCGGGGTTGGGTGCTCTTGGTCGCTTAAACTTCTGCCGGGAAATCCCATCCCTTTCCCTTTCATGTTAACCTCTGTGTTCCAATGTACCTGGGCTACGGTCCAATTCTCAGTATAGGCGGAGTCAAGTGATCAAATTGAGAGAAGCAGGTACTTGAAATGATTCGGCTTCTAAATCAAAATCATGGCTTGAGGTGATTTGGAATAGAGATGCAAACTTCGCTTTTGCCGCTTTTTCAGGCCCCCAAATGTAGCCTGTTTTGCGCGTAAAATTTGCCATTTTCGGAATGGACATCAGGATAGGTGGATTCGGCCCGTCTGCTTCCCAAGACTGGACGTACGCATCATGGCATGGCTTGACACGTCTTTTGCAGGTTCCATCTGGCTGTTGGCTTCGTGTGAGAGTTACCCTAATGGGCATATATGGGTTTTCCATAATGGGTATATGTGTTCCTGGTCCTGAGGATCCTACCCCCCCCCCC